TGGGAGAAACAAAGGCGGAAAGTGAAAATATGCTTTCCCCTTTCAATAAAGATCGGAAATAAATTCTGAGAAGTTGACAGTTTCGCCAAGATGTCGGTCTGTTAAGTTGACATGGGCCGATGGAGAGGCATACACTCCTGTTCCTTTTCCGATGTCTGTATGAACCTGCCCAATCAACGAACCCAATGTCTCCGTGTCTAACTGGAAGTGATCGGCCGATAACAGTGGTAGTTCGCTTGGCATTATGTCGCTGCATATCAATTCGCTGGGGTAAATCTCTGGCATATTGTATTCTGTAAAGATATTCATCGTCCCTTCAATTCCCGTATCGTTTATCGGCCCATATGTGTCGATTGACGGACTTGTTGATATGGTGCTGGCCGTCGTGAGATCTGGAGACTTGTTCTCTACAGTCTGTTTGGAATTTCGGCGAGATGATGTTCGACGTTTCTTTTCCGATGGTTTACGTGGTGTGTATTGGTAGTCGGGATGAGCTTCTGCATGCTTCCGCTTCAACTCATCGGCCAGGGCTCTGAACTCGACCCTGATATGCTCGGATTCTGCCTTCCACTGTTTCCCTAGAATAACAGCTGAGGAAATTAGTCGATTATTCGGCGTATGCACAGTAGTGGAACTCACAAATCTCGTTATTTGAAAGATTCGGGTGAGCCTCCTTGAGCTTAGGATGATGATGTTGGCGGTACAGGATAAATGCATTTGGCGGACGAGGAACCTTAGCAGCCTTAACAGTAACAGAAGGCCGCTCATGCTTCTTCACATGAGCTGTGATTGATTCGCATGACACCTCATGGGATGCTACAGATATTGCTGTGCCTGAAAACGCTGGAGTACGCATGACACGAACAGCGTTGATTGACTCATCGGCGAAAGCCACAACTGAAGCACCTATGAGAGCACTAATACCATATATGAGCATATAATTGATCAATAGTGGCTATAGCTGTCTTACCCAAGGCGAGTCTTGATCTTGTTAACATTGGTCTGGCCGATCATGTCGATGACATTTACTGGAAGTAAAACTTCATTATTCGTGGATCCAAGATGGCGCAAAGCATCCTGCCAAAGTAGCTCTGTAAGCTTGTCGCTGGACTCAGTAGTTGGCTTCAATGCTTGAGGTATAGAAGTCATCTTGGCATTTGATATAAAGGCAAAGGAAGATTCAAGGTATGAACAGATTAATCATGATCTTGAGCAGCGGTTATAGAGTCATGGGAGCAACCATGGGAAGGCATCAGAAATTTCAAGCATAGAAGTAACTCAGAGACAGTCTTAAAATCATAAGATTTTTTCTGTATTAAAAGGTGCCCACTTGTGTTAGACTTGACAGATGGAGCTGTGTCTAGGCGGTGGCGCCAGCGGGTACCATTCTTTGTTGACGTGAATTTAATAACGAAGCTATACGAGTTCTGTGTTTGGCTTCGAAGGCGCTTGTTGATTGTTTGTTTGCGCTAATACATACACACCATCAGTCAAACTTTCTATGTTAGTCTTCTTTCTTGACATCCTTTCTACATTTCTGTCCTATAACTTTCTAGTACCGTTCATCTTCCTCCTCCTTGAACCTCTGAACACATTCGGTTCCAGAATCTAACAATTCCTCTTTGTTCTTCACGATGGAGGTTAAGATCCATGCCCTACTGCGCTATCTTGATGATATAGCTGGCAATACTCTGCTTGCTGCTGAACTTCGCGAGAGAGCAGCATTTATCTCAGCTTCTTTCCTTGTCCACCAGAGTGTTGCTAGACTCATGGCGCATGTTACCGCATTGGCGAACGGCGAAGATTTGAATCTCCATTTCCATCAGATGTATGGCTCAAGCAAATCTGTTGATGTACCTGTCCGTCGTCACTGGAAACCTCTGAAGGCCATCATGGCCGACTATTGTGTTAATGCATCCGTTGCCGACATCGAAGGTCACCCCATCCAGCTTATTAGCATCCTTGACCCAACAATTGAAAAGTTGCTCCAAGGGGAAGACCTGTTTCAGTTCCACTATGCCCTTGTCCGTGCTGAGCATATGGCAAACGAAGATCTCGCTCGGTTGGCAAAAGACTATGGTTACCATTATATCTTCAGAATTGGTCTTATGCAATATTACATGACGTGAGTTGAATGTTGATGTACACAGCGTCTTGAAAGAAAAGTGCTAATGATGCAGCAAAACTGTTGTCGAAAAAATCAATTTCTTCAAATCAGATTCTCGTGGTTACTCTTGTCCAATTGTTGTCCAGACTTGCTTGTACAATGCAATGGAGAAGCGTGTCAATTTGAGTGCCACTGAGAAAGAGCTCGTTTTGCATTCCGTTAATTGCCAGCCATGTGATGCACACAGATTCTGCAAGTATCAATCTTTTGCTGCTATAGGCTATGCTAACAAATTAGGGGCGTGGTTGGAGTGCAACCGTGTTGCCTACAACGCGATGAACGCCTGTATTTCCCTACTGAATAAGATTGAGGGTAGTAAGTATCCGACCCTTTGTCCTGAATAGTGCTAAGTAAAATTGTATCAAGAGGCAATCCTCTGATTCCTGGTCATTGGTTCCCGGCATTCTTCGATACACAGTGTGACACACGCCAAAATAACCACGGGATAATCCTGGAGTATCCGGGCCAAATATGGACCTCAACGCCACTACAGCGAACAACTCAGTGGTCCGAAGATATATCTGTCGTCACATCAAGCGACTGTCGGGGTTTAGCGACTCTCTGGTGAATTATCAGCTTGTCGTCTTTTCACCGCATCCCAGACCGAAGTCCCGAAGAGATAGCTATCTGGACGGCGGCCTCAGTCCACACAACTTCACGCATCTTAAAGTCGACATTCTCATAACGGTATTATGTTATCGTGGTTTTACAAAAGATACCTGTTTATATTCCTATACCCAGACCGTGTCGCTGGGAAATCTGGTTGAAAGGGGAAAAACTCTATAATCTGGACGGTACATAAATGTTCATGTTAGGAGATAGATACACCAATACAAAATAAACTTCCACACAGCCACACGATGCAGCTGATAGGGCCTCCGCAACATAGTAGACGAGGATGCATCCAAGACAGGGGCACCTGGACCAGGTCGATGTCCTGAACTCTGTATTTCACCCTCCACGAATGGCACGGAGGCACGGTGCAACTTTTAGCTGTTCAGCGTGACGATATCCGACCCTCCGAACTCCTCCGTGTCCGCCCATGAGTCCGACACATTTATCTCGGTAATTGGCGATGCAGATATAGCTATGAAGCCACAAGTTGAACAGATGACTTTCCACCTCGCTGCACGGTTGCGAGCGACAACAAAGAAATAAGGCGGACGAGCCACGGGCGAGAAGGCACGACGCGGCGCCACCGGGACGGAAATGGACATGACCCCTCAGTTCGTCTGCCTCCCATCGCCAACCAGCCGACTTTCTGCACGCGCGACTGACTTCCTCGCGGACAAAGAGGCCAAGTCCCGCCATTGTGACCGACGGATGCGGACCGGAGCAGCAATGGGGGAGTCCGTGTCTACTGTCCAGGTCTAGAGGCGCCGGAAATCCCACTCCTTCAAGTCTAGCGATCAGCGACCAGGTGAGAGTCTGTGGATCCACGAGTGCGGTTATGCTTCCACCATAGGCTGGGGAACCCCAGGGGCTTGCTGCTGAGCTTCCCGGATGGCCATTAGTAGTTGCCAAGTGCTGTTGCTTTCCATACCTCTAGGCCCGTGAACTGAACTTAGTCCTGAAGCATCAAAGATCCACTCTTCTGCAGTACTTTTGTTCTGGGCCTAAACCGCGGTTTACCAAAGTCTTCGTCTAACCTCCTTGTCGACCACCACTACAGCGGCGCCAATGACTGTCTCGGGTTTTCCAACGCCATCGACCAGTCAATATGACCTGTCTCCTCCATTTTGACTATGAATCGGTCTAGGATTTTGTGCCATCACGCGGAAATTTGGCAGTGCTGATGTATTACCGTCCGGTATGCTTCAGCCAGTATGCAGAACACCTGTTAATCCTATCTGTGAAAGCAGCGGACTTGAAAAGTTTTCGACCATCATTCCTACACTACCTTGATGTTGTATTACATTCGAAGTGGTATCCGCATGTTTGACTTCTCGTGAGTGACCGTGATAGCCTTGACGTCTACACTCCGTTTTTCGCGCACACGATGGTCACCGGATAGCTAGGTAAGCCAAACCCCCTCCGCCGCATTGGATAGCATGACCTTCCCTAGTACTTGACTCATGATGCTGATTGATCATAGTAATGTGTAATACTGGGGTTTGACCCCGATTGGCTTAAACCCCCCTTCTATATAATAACACCTGTATACAGTCCTGAGATGCAGGCACAAGCTATTGGCTCTTGATCTAGACACGGGTTCCTTTGCGATCGCTGTTGCAAATGACCTCAGAAATCATTCGCACTTGGAAAGTACGATTTTATCGTTGTTTTGAGAGTATTGGAATGTTTCAATCAACCTACGCATCTTATCACGAATTCCGAGTAAGTAGTATAATTGATCTTATATTATAGACCCAGAGGGCTCTAGTAGGACCGTAGGGTAAAATTATTCTTACCAACAGCTTTCATAACATCTGCTCCACTGATGATGCTATTCAAGTATCTAACAACTCGGAAGAATACATACAAATGAATAAGAATGATCTTTGCTTTCCATTTCTGCATACGATACGATTACGGTTGTCATATAGAGTGCAACGAGAGTCTCATACCGGGGCGAACGAGGCAGTTGGAGCCAAAGGCCTCTATGGTATCCGCAGTGAATGATGATCTGGATATTTTGGTGCTGCATCTGCTCCACCGAAAATTTCGTCAATGTGGCCTCTGTTTATAACACACTTCACTGACGCGCCATTATGATTACTCTTCCTCTGTGAAATCATACTTCAACCTCTTAGTGATTACCTTGAGAAAAAAATTCAAAACTGGTACTCAGTCTGCTTGAATTGCCTTGAAAGGATCATCGCAAGTCAACAAAATGCCTCTGTCTCAGAAGAAGAGAAAGGTTTCAGCGCAGAACGTCCCTCACAAAGACCCAGAAGAAAGTAGTCCTGAGACTCGTCAAGGAAGACTAGAGCCATCTGCACCAGCTCACCGTATGGGCCAAGAGGGTTCCAAAGTGAAGGGTTCGAAATCGATAACTGCTCTAGCTTTGAGCTCAGATCACAACTTAATTGCCATCGCACTTGAGAAACGCATCAACACCTATACGCAAGTGGGCCGCTATTTCGAGCTGGTTGATGAAACAGGAGAAGAGCCATCGAATATCTTACAACTTTCCTTGGCACCAAATGCGACAAGGGCAGGAGAATACATTCTGGCTTCTTCATCATCAGACCACGTCAAGCTTTGGTAATTCAACAACCAAGGGACATTTCTAGATCCCTCTGGTGGTCGGAAAGTCGACATTTCCCAGCTATCGACCGAAGCAGCTAGCGGAATAACTGCGAAGCTTATGGACGCCCATTGGTGGAAGCAGAATGAAACAGCAATCTTGTCAATCCAACAGGGAATCAAAGACACACTGACTAAAGCTCTGGATATCCATACGAGCGAGCGTCAGACCAAACTAGAAGGAAATACTGCAATCTTCAGTCCGGATGGGAGATTCTTGTTATGCTTCACTCAGGCTGAATTTTTTGGTGAGACCACAGAAAGAAATCCTTCAAGGATTATAGTCTGGGATAACGTAACCAAACAGCCTCGATACGATCCACTAGGCCACTCGGACGGTATTCTGTGGGCAGGAATAAGTCCCGACTCGAAACTCATAGGAGCCATTGAGATGAACAACACAGTCCGGATTTGGCTCGCTGATAGTGGTATCTGCAAGAATTCTTTTGCGTTCCCTTGCAATGCTGAGGCAATGAATGGTGCATTTCCCCCGGATTCCAAATATTTTGCCCTTAATTTCGGTGTTATTTGTTGCCCATCAGAGATACAAATCTTTGATATCACTACAGGAAACCGGACATCCCGGTGAAAGTGTCCGGATAACAATATTGAATCTATTGCGTGGAGCCCCAATGGCAACCTACTGGCTACTGCGGGCTACTTCGGTGATGTCAGTATTTGGGATGTTACAAACGGGCTGGAAAGAATGGAGTGGGTTGAAGATCGACCTGGGGTGGAAGATGATCCGGATTCCTACTTGGCTTCTGACATACGGTTCTGGGATGATAGGAACGAGCTCGTCTTTGAATGGAGTGGTGTGACAACTAGGGTCTACAATTGGAGAAGCTGTGTTATGCATACTTATTGCGGGTTTGCGGAGCGTGTTAGAAGACCGGTGAACTGCTCTGAATATCTTGGATTCCCTGCTCATAGTGGTTCGACTTTGGGGCACATATTGATTCGAATTTGAGGCAGTGGAAGCTGGATTAGGGGTATGGTTGTGTGCTGTCTGAATGGTTGTGGTTAAATGCTGTTGGGTGGCACTATTCTGGGTACTGATATCTTTGGGAACAGAGTAGGGAGGTAACGGGGCTTGGGGTAGGAGATAGCACAGGGTTCACTAATGCTTTGCACAGCCTACCGTGTAGTTTGAGTATGCACATAACATGCAATAACTGGTGTATCAATTTCTAGAGCTACTGGAACAATAATAGTCATTAGGGACAGAATGTAAGCCAACATCCTCTTCTTGTCTAACAAACCAATCTAGTTTCCACACACCTGTACTATCCATAGCGAGCATTCACAGGCTCATCATCGAACCAAACCGGGGGCACTCCATAATTGATAATCGTACTCTTAACCTTTGTATAGCTTTCATACGCCTCCAAACCATTCTCCTTCCCCATTCCACTCTGTTTGAATCCACCCCACGGCGACGACGGATCATTCAAATGATGTCCATTAATCCACACAATCCCTGCCTCAATCTTGTCCGCCACTCGATGTGCCTGGTAGAAATTAGTCGTCCAGATTGAAGCCCCCAGCGCCAACGAAGATGCATTGGCAATGCGAATGACATCCTCCTCCGACTGGCACCTGATCAGCGCAATGACCGGTCCAAACACCTCGTTACATTCCAGGTCCGTCTGTGGACGCGTCTCAATGACCGTCGGCTCGAAGTAGTACCCTTTTCCAGAGGAAGGATTGGTAGTCGCATGTCCACCACAGAGGACCTTTCCACCCTCCCGCACAGCTCTCTCCACAAACGCAGCGCATCTTTCCACCGCTGCCTTAGATATAACCGTTCCGATCTGCGTCGTGTCGTCAAGGGGATTGCCCAGCCGTAACTTCTCAACCCGTTTCTTCAGCAACGCCGTGAACTCGTCATAGATATCCGTATGAACAAGCAGCCTACTCCCCGTAACACATGTCTGTCCACTAGCAATGAAGCTCGCAAACAGCGCTGCCTTAACCGCATCCTCGATCCCAACGCCCGGGAACAAGCACACAGGTGCCTTTCCGCCTAGTTCAGCCGTTATGGGGATGAGATTCGCCGATGCAGACGGTGCAATAGCCCTGTATGTTGCTAGTCCACCAGTCAAGTCTATCTTCGCCAGCAACGGACTCTCACACAGATACTTCCCCGTCTCGTATCCGTATCCGCTGATTATCTGCAACACGCCATCGGGTAAGCCCGCCTCTTTGAACAATGCACCCAGCCTCAGCACAGACAGAGGTGCTAGTTCTGATGCTTTCACTATGACCACGTTCCCACCTGCCAGTGCAGCCCCGATCTTCTTCATGGCGATGAGAAGCGGGTGGTTGTATGGTGTGATCAGTGCCACCACGCCGAGCGGTAGCCGTGTCAGGGTGTTCACGACTGGTCCCTTGAAGGGAGTTACTCGGCCTTCGTGCACGCGTACTACGGAGGCAAAGTACTCGAGCCATTCAGGGATGCGAGCTAGCTGGGCGCGCATCTCGCGGATGGGACGGCCGGTTTGGCGAGTTTCCAGTTCGATGAATTCTGGGAGACGGGAGCGGAGGAGACGGGCTGCGGTCGAAAGGACCGTGAAGCGTGTGGATTGATCAGCGCGGGACCAGGAGCCATCGTTGAAGGTTTTCAGGGATAAGGTGATGATTTGATTAACGGTTTCTTTGGGGGTGGAGTCGATGGTTGCGATAGGGAGCTCGGTGGCTGGGTTGATGACGGGGATACGGGGTGTGGTTGCGGTGGTGTGGGTGCCATTGACCCAGTTGGAGACGTGAGGTATCATGGCTGTCATTTTGGAGAGTTAAAGATATGAAGTAGTGTAGGGTAAAGTGGATGTGTTGACATTGGATGGATTATATGATGCTATATAGTATCGGGGCTACCCCGCACGCGTGCCTGATAAGCCGGACTTATCGCCGTTCTTCCCCTTCCTCCTCCTCCTCCTCCTCATCACTGCCACTATCACGATAGCATTGATCCAGAGATACCAGTGGGGCAGCAAATTTCTATCGGAGACGTCTCTTGAGTTATCGGATAGGATCACATTGTTACTTTGCTTTCCGTTCGAGCGAATACCTCCCTGAAACTTCAGCTGGTTATTTTCCTCCACTTCAAAAGGATCAGTGAACACTTGGGTATGAAGGGAACTCTCCATAAGAGACTCTTAAAAGACTGCCCAACAGTTGAATGAAGGCTAACTATTGTCTTAATCCAGACGGCTTAAAGGTTGCCGAGTGACTCAGTCTTCCATCCGTGTCTCCACCCGATCATTATCTACTCAGGATCAGCAGCAATTAGACCCATCATTGCATCCTACCTGGCATTATACAATATCTACCATGTCTTTCAAAGACAGGTCTACATTTACATCTCGCGATACCATCACGTATCTTTGGCAGGGTCTCCATCTTCCCCCAGACACCCTTGACTCTCTCTCTATCAGCGAACCTCCCAATCCCGGCTTTCCCTCCTCCTTCAAAATCGGTCATATCGCCCAAGCCTCAATTGCACTCTCTGCTCTCCTGGCATCTCAAGTCCATAGCCTCAGGAATAACATCACCCCTCCCAAAGTCACCGTTCCTTATGATCATGCCTGCATTGAGTTCAACTCCGCACGCCTGTACACTCTGAACGGCCAGCCTCCCTCTTCAGACTGGGGGCTCATTGGCGGTCTTTATCGATCATCTGACTGTTACGTCCGCGTTCATGATTCGTTCCCCAACCACCGTGAGGGAACAAAATCCCTTCTTGGCTGCTCTCCAACCGCAACCAAAGACGAAGTTGCTTCCAAGATTTTGGCATGGCGCTCCGTGGATCTCGAAACCACTGCCGTTGATGCCAAGCTGGCCATTACTGCTCTCCGCAGTTACGAACAATGGGATGTGTTGCCGCAAGCCAAAGCCATCGCAGACTTTCCCATCCTGCTTCACAAAATCGGCGACGCCCCGCCTGGTCTGCCCTCCCGGATCGGCCCACATGCCGATAAATGTCTGCGGGGGCTCCGTGTTCTTGAACTCTCGCGGGTCATTGCGGCCCCGCTGTGTGGGAAGACACTGGCCGCACACGGAGCCGATGTGCTTTGGGTGACAAGTCCTCATCTGCCCGACCTGCCAGGACTCGATCGGGAATTCGGTCGTGGAAAGAGAACCGTCCAATTCGATCTGCAAGACGAGCAAGACACAGAGGAATTCTTCACATTGCTGGACGATGCAGATGTCTTCATCCAGGGGTATAGACCGGGCAGTCTAGCTGCCCGTGGACTCTCACCAGAGTCGATCATGAACAGACGTCCCAATCGTGGTATCATCTACGCAAACATGTCTGCATACGGCCCTGATGGCCCCTGGTCAGCGCGTCGAGGCTTTGACTCCCTGGTTCAAACCTGCTCTGGCATGAACGTTTCGGAGGCCGAGCACTTCGGTGCTGGAGAATCCGCACGTCCACTTCCCTGTCAGGCGCTCGATCATGCCGGGGGCTTCTTCCTGGCGTCCGGGATTATGGCCGCGCTGTACAAGCAAGCCACGGAAGGGGGATCCTGGCAGGTGGATGTCTCGCTGGCAGGGGTGATGAAATACCTGCGCTCGTTAGGCCAATACGAAGGGAAAACAGGGTTTCAAGAATCACCAGATTATGCTCACCCCCAAAATGTTCCGACCGAGTATTTCGAGACCCGGAGCACGGGGTTTGGGGAGATGACCGCCATTCGTCACGCTGCGAACATTGAAGGGGTTGAGATCGGCTGCGAAGTTATGCCCAAACCACTCGGCTCTGACGAAAAGCGGTGGCTGGAGGCATTGCAATAATGGAATGCATTCTAGGATCTTTTCTACCCCGCATCACCGAGAATGCAGAAAGTGACGACACAAAGAAAAAGCACTGGTTCCGTGGCGTGTGCATCCAAACAAAGTAATCATGCTACCCAATAGTACTCCACCACGACAGCCCAGTTCCCAAGGCTGAGGCCCAGGCCAGCTGCACGGCTGACAGAAATGGGTCGAGTTTGCTTTTGCTCCCTGCAGAAGCGGCCACTGCCCTGTGATCCGGTCACGCCCGAGGCCGAATAGACGCTCCGTAGGAAAAAGAAAATGGATGGATACACAACCATTGGCAAAGGTTTAAATAGCACAATGGCTCCCAGGGCTATTCGAGGGGTTCTGTGCAACTGACACCGGTTTTCCCACCCAATATATTCAGCAACCCACCTGCTGTTTACTGTAGTATCCGCCTGGGAAACAGAAAAGCTAATAGCGCGGATCAAGACACCATGAAAGTCATTATCATAGGAGGGGACGTTTCAGCCCTCGTGTGCGCAATTACTTGTCGTCGCGACAATCTGAACGTGATCGTGCTCGAGTCCGGTCAAGATACTGAGGTACCACGAACCTCCTATCTCCAAATGCGCCCGACCACCAATTATCAAAGATAGACCAGCTTACCCAGATATTCTTACTTTAGACTCCCCCGGGCGTCCAGATCCCTCCTAACGGAACACACCTCCTCCGCCGATTGGGTTTGCTCGATGAAGTACTTGAGAAAGGGAATATTCTCCAGACGATTGATTTTCGACACTATGCCGATGGCGGATTGATTAGATCCATGCCATGCGGGGAGGAAACGTGTCGAGTATATAGAGGGCCATGGATGTAAGCTATTCTTCCTAATTGATCAATCATGAACTATGATTGTGCTGACGGTATGAAGAACGATCCATCGCGCAGATCTGCTCCAGATCCTCCGAGACAGGGCACGGAAATTGGGTACTGAGATCCGATCTGCCGCAGTGCGAGAAGTAAACAGTGCGACTGCAGAAGTAATCCTGGAAGACTGGGAGAAACTACAAGGAGATATTGTGATCAAAGCAAACGGTAATTACTCTACTCTTTATACACAAATCCACCTCTAACCCACGATACCAGACAAAACAATCAACGAACCCCCCTCATCAAGCACACCAAACGACACAGAAACCATCTACCAAGCGACCATCTCACGCAAACACCTAGAAGCCCTCAACAACCCTACAATCGACGAACTCTGGCAAGACCGACACAGCACTACCGTCTGGCTAGGACCAAACCAACACGCCGTCTTCTATCCCGTTCGACACAGCCAGACATTCATCTTGAACATATACCATACCAACACTGACAGCAATTCCAGCACCACCCCAACCGCCCAAGAGATATGCACAGGCTGGGACACCCGGTTCGTCAACCCTCTCCCCTGGCCCCTCTACCCCAGATCAGAACCCTAACTTACAACGAAACGAATACAGCCTCCAAACCATTCTCACCCTCACACCCACCCTAACACCCACCACCACCTCCTCCAACCACACCCACAACCATCACCACCAAACCCCAACCCAGAACACCCCTCCCCAATCCCTCCTAACCCACCTCCCCACCCAAATCACCCAGACCATCCCACCTTACCTCTTCCAAACAACATCCACAGCCATCGAAGACGCCCTCACCCTCGGCACCCTCCTCAGCCTCTACAACCAACACACCCACCTCCACTTCCACCCCCAACTCGAACCCCAATCCCAATCCCACTCGCACCTCCCCTCCCTCCTAACCCTACACACAACTCTCCGCGCCCCCATCACCACCTCCAAGACACAAGCTGCACTCTCCACCCTCCGCACAATTCAACTCGAGAACGGACTCACCCAGCAAGCGCGGGATTGGGTGCTTAGCGGAGCGGGGATAACAAGGGATACGGATGGGTGGTGGAAGGTTGTGTCGTCGCGACAGGAGGGGGTGTTGGGTGGTGGGGTTGGGTTGGTGGATGAGACGGGGAGGGCGTTTTGGGAGTGGATGAGGGAGAGGGGGGGTGGGTTGGGGGATAGGGAAAGGGAGGGGTCATCGTCGTCGTCTTGGAGGTCGAGTTGTGGGATTGGGGGGTCGAGGAGGAGGTGGTATGCTTGGTGTTGAGATCCGGTTTCAAGAGGGGTTTGGTTGATTATGTGGGTGTTGGGGATTTGTCGTGTCTTTAGGTTTTGATAGTATGGGGATTATGAATTGAATGATTTATTATGAGTGGACCCCAGTAGTAACGAAATCGGGTAAAATACGCTGTGAAGCTAGAAAGATGGGAATACAGTAACGGAGGAATCCTTGCGATCTGATTATATACAGTACAACGATAGCTCGGAGCATAATCGCCCAAACACACGCATGGCTGCTACTCTTGGTATATCCAACAAACAAGCAATGTCACAGAAAACACAACCCGAATAGAATTGCAGCAAAGCCAGAAGAGCCAGATCTCCCAGTCTGCTTCCACCCACTAAAACATGACAAACATGCTGGCAGCCACTTAGTCCTCTTGGTAAGAAATCTTCCGCATCTCTCCCAGGCGTTGACGAGCCCGAGAAAGGTTGTTCTCCAGTTGGAGGATCTCGACCTGAAGAAGTCATTAGCATATAACAACGACAATATCAGGATTCGACGTACCTGCTGCTCCATCTCCCGCACTTTGAACTCGTGGGAGCTGAGCTTCGAGTAATCCACCGCTTCGGAATCATCCTGGTTCTTCTCCTTGATGATATCCTGCACCTGGCGCACCAAGCCCCGGCAGGCCGCACCAACAGCCTTGCTAGCCGTCTCGAGACGATCCTGCGACTTGCTCATGAAGGTGGCCTTGACACGACTGGCTGCCACCAGCTGCGCCGTGCTGGCCGCCACATCGTTAGAAGCGACAATCAATTGCTCAGGGGAGTTGCGTCCCGAGATGACACCATCGGCGGTCTCAATCAAGGTGTTGGTCGAGCTGGCGACTGCCTTGGCTGCTGAAATCAGACCCTCAGTCCA